CCTCAAGCTGGCCTTGAACTTGTTATGTAGCAGAGGAGAATCTTGAACATCTGATCCCCGTCTCCAACTTCAAGTGCTGGGATTACAGGAATACACCCTCATGCCTGGTGTGTTATGCAGTGTTTGACATTAAATAACAGGGAGCAATGAGAGTATGATATTCTACCATGAGATTCAGAGCTGTCTGAGAGTCTATGAACTCTGGGGATCCCCCTTGTTCTCTCACTAGCATGTTCAAGAGCATTTCCACACAGAACTGGTAAACACTCAAGTGTTCTGGGGACTGGAGAATAGAACATGATAAAGTCAGGACTCTCACTGAACTAAATTCAAATGGGGATCACAAGAACTACGTAAGGGAGTAGGCAAGCCATCTCTAGGAAAATGACATTTATATTAGATACCTAAAGACGAAGTAAGGAAAGTCATGCAATATCTAGGAGGAAGAATGAAAGAAAACACAGAAAATGAGGAGATAGGGGGCTGGAGAGTTGGCTCAGTGGTTAAGAGCAATGGCTTCTCTTACAGAGCACCTGGGTTCAATTCCCAGCACCCACAGAGTGGCTAGCCACTGTCTATAACTCCAGTTCCAGGGGAATTGACCCTGTCCTCTGACTTCCAAGGGCACTGCAGGACACAGGTACACTTACATACATGCAGGCAATGTACTCATGCACAAAATGAAAATAATAAAATATATATTTCTAAAAAAACATGAGGGAATAAGCAGCATGAGCCTTGAGGGGGAAAGAGACTGGTTATGTCTGAAGAACAGCAGAAAACTAATGTGTGGAGGAAAATGTAATCAGACAGGAAGACAGGCGAGAGGGATAAACATACCATTACATCCTTAACAGCCTGATAAGGAGTCTGGGTTTTGTTGTGAATGTGAGGAGAAACCCTGATTTATCTTAGGTAGCAAGAGAAGTGAGAGCAGGAAATCAGAGTGGAGGCAGCCAGAGCTGAGGGGCTACAGTGTCCCCAGGAGGAAATAAAATTGAACTAAGGCAGTGGCTAAAAGAGGTGACATCCTGGTACTTGTTGTCATTAGCATACCACTTCAGGATGGTGAGGTTCAGACAGTCACCAAGGAAATGGGTGATCAACTTTTCAGCAGTTTAACAAGAACATAGCCTCACTGAGTAAGCACACCTGAAGTACACTTTCCATTCAGGTAGGCCTAGGTCCTTTTCTAAGCACTTCAGGAAAACAGGTAGGCTGGAGTTTGTTTCCATGTGGTCATCATTTCTAACCACATAGAAAATAAATATGAGAAACAGGATAAAAATAAAAGATTTATATATTTCAATAAATTAATATGCAATCAATCCTTGCTGTATTCACCTTCAAGCCAATTATTTCTAAAATAAATATTTCATCTGAAGTCTTTAACAAATAAGTCTCTAATCCTAGAACCTGAAAATACACACAAGTTGAATGGACAGTCTTACTGAAACATGAGTTGACTTGCATTGTTTTAGTACCTGATACTGCTGACACGTAAATGCCTACAATCATGAAGTAGAAAACCAGGCAGAAAGGAAAATGATTTATGAACAAGCCAACAACTGAGAAAACAATAAAAATTACCGAAGTAGAAACTAAAAAGTTTGAGTCCCTTCTGGGGCACTGGTTTTAAAATAATTATCTTGAACAATTTCAAAATTAAAACAGAATTTATATTCTTAACAAAAAAACAGTAACATACGGTATTTCTTTTCCTAAACATTTTTTATAGATTTTATTGTTTTTAATTATGTGTCTATGTATGTCTATGTGTCTATGAACATGGGTGTAGGTACCTGCAGAGGCCAGAGGCCAGAGGAATTGGATACCCTGGGACCAGAGTTACAGGTGGCTTTGAGTCACCTGATGTGGGTGCTTATAATCAAACTCGGGTCTTCTGGAAGGGTAATATGTGCTCTTATCCACTGAATCATCTCTCTAATCCCTTCCTCGACATTTTAAAAATTATGTCTCTCTTTTCAAAGGCAGTCAATTTCAATCTCTTTATATTTTTAATTATTTCAGATATTCTAGGCTTCTCAGTAAAAGGACAGGGATACTGAGGCAGGGAAACCTGAGTCTAAATTTAAATTCTGGCATTAGCAATAACTGCTCATATTTTGGGTCAGTTATTAACACTCAAAAGCCTTGGGGTCTTCACTGGAAACATTCCAGTAACAGCTACTGTGCAGCATTTTAAAGAAAATTAAAGGAGATTAAGTTACACAGAGCCTCAGTAAACATTTACAGCTTTATAAATGCTAGCTCTTCCTTCATCCTGCCTTCCTTTCTAACTATTCTGGCATTATATGCTTGCTACAGTGGCCTTTCAGTAATACCTAAAGTAGATGGAACTTTGTAACAGTGGCCATACTTTTACCATCTCACCAGCTTTCATCAGTAGCATCAGAAATGTTGCGAAGCTTTATTCTACTGGACTGACTGTAAGGCGCTTGAGGGAAAGGAACGCCATTCTTTGAAATTATACAAGATTAAAAGGCACTAAGCATACTTTCTATGTATAAAAAAAAAATCACTAAGGGCTGGAGATGTAGCTCAGTGGTAGAGGCCCTGGGTTCAGTCTCTATCATAAACAAACAACAAAACCCACAGGGAGCCATACTATTGCTTATTAACTTCATTATTGTATACTAATATAATGGGCTTTTATAACTTTCACAAATAAAATCCAAGTTTCAAGTGTATCTGTACTAGAGTTAATTCTGCTTACTATTGTAAATGTGTCTTTCTTTCCTCTGCAGTGAGGCAGAAGCTTTAAAGGCTCATGATATCACATATAGTTGTGCAGGTTCTCTTAAAGCCTAGCATAGCTCTGTGTACCTAGGAGAACATCAAACAGCACTTCTGCCATATCTCATCTTGATATATACCTCACAAACAGTCACTGCTGCAAAGACTTGAATATCCTCATCAACTCCAAAGAAACAAAGAGCTATTGACCACTGAAAAACTACCAGTGTGGCTGTCTGCATTGCCTCAGGTTATTTGGTCACATTCAATTCTTGCAAAAGTTCTCATACTGCAAAATTTGTGTTAACTGAAACCACCATTCCACAATTAAGGAAATAGTACATTTAATAATCAACTAAGTGCCAATTAAGCTTCCATCACCTCCTTTTAAATCTTCAGCTATCCTTACTCTAAGTTATCTCTTTCTTTGTTTATCATTGCAAACATGGATCCTATATTTCTCTTTATCACTGCAAACGTAGATCCTACATTTCCCAACTTACAGAGGATACAGGCCTGGGGATATAACCTCAGTTTTTAAATCCACGTGAGATATTTGTAATATCCATTTCCTTCTTTCTTCATTTATGTCATTCTAACATTCATTAGAACCTCTGAGAGACCCTGCCTCACATGAAACCTTGCATCAAAGAATAAGGTAGAAGATTGATCAAGAAGGATCCAACCTCAGATCACCAAATACACATCTGTACAAAAACATATGTGCACCTATACACATGCAAAAACATGCATACACCACACACACACACACACACACACACACACCATCTAAAGGAAAGAATCTAAAGGGACAAGGCATCCACATTAATGCTTATCAGCCAACTAACTAAAATATTCATTTGTGAAAGTTAAGAAAAAAAGATGACAGTAAAACATATAACTGATTGAACTGATATAATACTGTTAGAATTATCTCCTTATTTCATTTATCTACATCATTAATCTTTTCCAGACCTGGCTGGAAGAGACAGGGACTCTTACAAAATATTCCTTTTCCACCAAAATTCTTTCATTCATGCTATGCACATGTATGGAGGCTGAGTACACCAAGCAGCTCTAGCAAACACACAGCAAATCCCCGTTCTCCTGACGGTAACTTCCCAGCAAGCAAATGCCAAGTAATTTTTCTGTGTGTGTGTGTGTGTGTGTGTGTGTGTGTGTGTGTATTGCCTGCATGTATGTAAGTGCACTCATGTCATGCAATGTCCACAGAGGTCAGAAGAGGGCATGAGATCCCCTGGAACTGGAGTTATGGATGGTTGCCAGCCACCATGTGGGTGCTGGGAATCGAACCCAGGTCCTCTGCAAGAGCAGCAGGTGCTCTTAGCCACTTAGCCATCTCTCCAGTCCCAAATGCAAGTAATTTTAATATACAGATGTAGCACATTAGCTATTACACACTATGAGGGGTGCTCAAATAGAAAAAGAGGGCTATGAAGAGTCCAGGGCAGGCAGAAGAGTTTAATTTTTAGTTGTCTTCACAAACCTAAAATATTAAGCCGCTATTTTTTTCTAAGCACAAAATTAAATGGAGAAATATATTAACAACAACTTTCTGTTATAAAGAACTTATGGATAACCTCAAAAGCTTATGAATTTTATTGACAGAACAGCTGTTCAATTTGTAAAAGACTGCATCAAGCTACTTTGCTAAGTTTATAGTAACAAAAGCAGATGTGCAATAATTATTTTTACTGGTGATGGGATAAACCCTAAAAAAAAATGGACTTATCTAAATAACTAACAAAAGATAAGAAGACAGTGTTTAAAATCTTGAAAAAAGATTCTTTTCACATCTTGTTGATGAATTTGTTGAGTTGGGTGAGCAAAACAGTATCTCTTCAATATAGGTACAAATGATGCTCAGCTATATCCAATAATGGCTGAAAACATTTGCACAGGTCTTGTTTTTCTTTTCCTTTCTTTAAAAACCTGGACTATAGTGGTCAAATACCTCCCAGGCAAGCCAAGCTGCTATCTAGTAACATAACATCCCTGAGAACGTAGGAAGCTGGTAAGTTCCATACAAAGGCAGACTTGTCAAGCCAAGCATTTTGTTGGCTATAACATTATCTACTTTGGTCATAGCAATCCAAAGACATAAAAATGTTTAAGGTATCTCAAGTGGTCTCAAATTATCTACTCTCCAGTATTTTATCAAACCAAATATTTTAAAAAGTAGGAATATTACAAATTCTATTTCCCCTCCCTTAAGAAAATACCTCCATGGTGATGTGACAGGCTCCCTCCATTGGCAAGGATTTCATCTCTAGCAGCTGTCTGTAAGTGGACACAACACAAAACACTGTTATTTAGATTTCACTTTGGAGGGAAAGAACAAGACCTAACTCCCAAAGAAGCACACATTCTTTGGGTTAAATAATAAACCAGCAGCCTATTATTCCTCTCTCTTAGGTGGGAAATTAATACATGTAGCCTAGCTTTAAAAGTCAGATTTTACTCTCAGCAGACATCTCAAACCAGCAAGACTTGTGGCTAACATTTACCAACTACCCCTCAAATGTCAAAAAAGGCACTAAGCAATTTGCCTGAAATATTCCATTTACTTCCACTACAGTATTATGGAAGAATTATAATCGTTCCTACTTTACAAATAAAGAAAATCAGGCTTTAAAAGGGTTAAATTGGGGCTGAAGAGATGGCTCAGCAGTTAAGAGCACTGACTGCTTTTGCAGAGGACCCAGGTTTGGATCCCAAACACCACATGGCAGCCAACAACTGTCTATAACTCCAATTTCAGGGGATCTGACACCGTCTTCTGACCTCCATGGGCACTGCACGACATGGGTGCACTTACATACATGCATACATGCAGGCAATATACTCGTACATAAAATAAAAATAATAAATGAAATATGCTTTTTTAAAACAGGTTGAACTGCTTGCTTCCTATCATACTATGGGCATCAGAATCAAGATTATTTACAAAGCTGTTATGGATCAACCATAAGAACTCCTATGGAGAACATTTCTTAGTTCAAACACATGGGACAGAATGCTTATTATTACATAGATATCTAAGTGTGAAAAGAAGAAAAAGAAGGGAGGGAGGAGGGGACAAACTGCCTCAAATCCTGTTTTGTCCCCTTATTTAGCCCTTCTAAAATGCTAGATCCTAATGATCCTTATGGAGTGCTCTTGTGTTAAAATGATATACACAGCTGGGCTTGGTGGCACACACTTTTAAACCCAGTACTCAGGAAGCAGAGGCAGGAGGACGTCTGTGAGACCAAGGCCAGCCTGGTCTACATAGCAAGTTCCAGGTCAGCTGGGGCTACAGGAACACCTTGTCTCAAAAAACAAACAAACAAAAGATAAACACATAATAAAAATACAGAAAAAATGAAATGCACAGTGAAGGGTAACAGAAACAGGAACTGCCTTTGATCCTTTCTGTTTCTCCCTGCTTTATTCCTTTGCCCTATTTTAATTTTCTTTTTTAAATTATTTTTTAGATTAGCATACAAAGCGATGGGTTTCAGTATGACATTTTCATACATATAGTTCTCTATACTTACTCTTTAATTTTTATTTTATGTGTATGAGTGTTTTGCCTGCACATAAGTGCATCTGTGTTGTGAAATGCTTGCGGAGGCCAGAAGAGGCATTGGATCACCTAAAACTGGAGCTATGGACAGTTGTCAGCCACCATATGGGTGCTGAGAACTGAACCCAGGTCTTCTTCAAGAGCACCCAGTGCTCTTAAACCACTGAACCATCTCCTTCTATTCTCTTTTAAAATTTTTATATTTTGCGTGTATGAAGGTTTTGCCTACACGTATATTAAGTGCACCCATGTTGTGCAATACCTGTAGAGGTCAGAAGAGAGTATCGAATCCCTGAACTGCAGTGAAGGATGGTTCCTAGCTGTCATGTGGGTGTTGAGAACTGACACCAGATCTTCTGCAAGAGCACCCAGTAGTCTTAACTGTTGAGCCATCTCCCCAGTCCCCTATATCTTCTATTCTTAATGATTCAAGAATATTTATTAGCCACAAGGTAAATATCTACTGTGTCTTGAACTTCTTAGACTTTCACAAGTGTATAAAAACCCTCAGCTGTGGCCAAGGCAGAAGATGGCCCAAGTGGAACAGATGGACCATACCTCATTGCAAAGTATTCATTGTGAACCCTCAGTACTTGGAGTTGGGATTTTCCACATGGACGCTAAGTATGCTGGTCTCTGCTCCTTATTGTTTCTAACAAATTACTTCAAATAAAACAGCTTCTTAAGATCAGTAGAACACAGCTAATGACAGTTGGGATTGGGGGACAGAAACAGTTTCACTCCATGGACTGCAAGGAAGGGAGTTTTTTGTTTGTTTTTTTTCAGACATATAGCCCTGGCTGGCCTGGAACTCACTATGCAAACCAGGCTGGCCCTCAAACTTGCTGCACTCTCCCTGCCTCTGCTTCCCCAAGGCTGGAAATATAGGTATGCACCACCATGTCCAGCTAAGGAAGGAACTTTTGAGAACCAGGCAAAGGATATAAGAATGTACTTAAGTTTGTGGGCTAGTGAGATGGCTCAGCAGGTAAAAGAGTTTGCCACAAGGCCTGACCACCTAATCTGAGACCCATAGGGTAGAGGAAAAGAGTCACATCCATCAGGTTGTCCTCTGACCTCTACCTGTGTGTTATAGGATGCATGTGCCCACACACACACACACACACACACACACACACACACACACACACACACGAGAGAGAGAGAGAGAGAAATAAACATATAAATAAATAAAATGTAAAGGATATAGTCAATGTTGTGACAATAATAGATATACCCATTTGATTGGGGTGATGGCTTAGTCATATGTTAAAACTCATCAGACTGTATACTTAAAATATGTACAATTTACTATATTTCAATTATATTTTTTAAAAATCCATTGGCAGGGATTAGGAGGTAGGTAGCTGACCAAACCCAACCATGACAGTTGGGTATGGATATATGCTGGCCATTAAAATGGCCTTGCAGTGCTAACTTGTGGCAGGCACACACAACCACACCTGTATTTCAATCAAGAGACATGTTTGCTACAGGTTCCTCCAGTTTTGTGGAGGATCTCTATGAAGGCTTGTAATAAGAAATACGACCATCTACATGTGACTTCATAGAAATTAGTAGCGTAAGGCCACTAAAGAAACATAATAGAGTCAGGCATAGTGGCACACACCTTTAATCCCAGCACTCAGGAGGCAAAGGCAGGCAGATCTCTGTGAGTTCAAGGCCAGCCTGATCTATATAGTGAGTTCCAAGCCAGCTGGGGCTATAGAAAAACCCGTCTCAAAAAGAAAAAAGAAAAAAGAAAAAAAAAAAGAAAAAGAAGAAGAAGAAGAAGAAGAAGAAGAAGAAGAAGAAGAAGAAGAAGAAGAAATGCAATAGAAATTGCTAGCAAATGAAACCAAGGACCTATATATAGCCATATCATTTAAACTAGTCACAAAACTAAAATAATATTGTAACAACACAAACCAAGAACATGAGGGCTGCTACTGACCTCAACAACAGTCATGACCTGGCAATGGGGCTGCCAGTGGTATGGAGGACTCCTATAGTCATTAGATTCCTGTTGTTATTTAACTTAGTTGGTCATATCACACTCAAAGTAACAATCAGAGTTACAGGCTACAGGGATACAAAACATAAATTTCAGACTGATAATTCAGCGTACTCAATATAATTTTCATTTCAATGGCCTATCAGCCAGGGAAACCATGTGTAACTGAAGAGAATCAAACTAAAATCCCTAAGTTGATACTAAAATTCATTTAAATTAATAGAACATAAAAGCTATACACACATATGCACAATTACCTCAGTTTGTTCAAACACAGACAATGGATCACTAATTCCCCTGTAGTTAAAGGCAAAATAGAAGTAGATGCATGCACCTGCATCATAAGTCTGCGTCACCCTAAAAGACAAAAAGACAAAATCCACACAGGGGCTTGAAAACAGATTTAACAGACTTAAAATATAATCAAGTAAGAATTGACATAAATTAACCTAAAGTGCATAATCAAAGTAACACTTAACGAAAGCATGACACTTTAAAAGCCTTTATCTTGATAGTATAAGTAACATATTTTTTTCTCTTTTGTATATGCCATTAATTTTGTGCAAAATTAGTTCTTCATGTGGGTAATATATGACAATATTGTGGCATAGCTCCACTGTTTTTCAAAAATCTATACATATATATATATTTTTTTTTTCTATTGCCACACTAAGCAGACATGCCACAAAATATCTACCTCAGGAGAAAAGCACATTGGACTAGAAACAAAGAACCTGGCTCCATTCATTGGCCCACCACTGTTGAGAAAAGAAACATGAACTACACAGAATGCATAATAAGGGTATGCAAATACCAACTAAAATTAATTATCATTATTTTGAAAATCTACATTGATAATAAAGCATAAGTCATAATCTCTTCAAAGTACATAAATGCTCTAAAAACAGGATTGTGTCCTCATTTGATTGGATTCTTATGGCTCAAGAGTTTCTGAGCAGAAAAAAGGAAAGCACTGAAGTTGAGGGGATGGAAGAAAAAGAAAAAGATTGTGGCTATAACGTTTAAAGTAAGTGGCAATGAAATAAGTATCAGTAACCTTTTGACACACACAGTTTAAATGTACTAGAAGAAACTCTTAAGCTCTCTCTAGTCAATATACTACACCCCATCAGGATACAGTGACAGAGTGAGGAATGTCAGAAATTCTATTCTCAGTTTAATGACAATTAAAGAGCACATACCTTGGCAACATAAGTAATGTAATTTTACTATCTCTGATGTACTAGAGACCTTTGGAGAATATGAAGATAGATAATAGTTTTATGTAGCTAGAAACCAGAGTAAATTAGTTAAAGGTACTAATACTGATTTTTACATTTTGAATATTACTCTAGCTTTGTAAGACATTAACATTTGGGAAAAATAAGTGAAGGCATATGAGAATATGATGCTAGTGTTCACTGTGGAAGATGTTCCTCTGGGCAGGCCTGTGGGGGATTATTTCGATTATATTAATTGATGTAGGAAGATTCTTCATGTGGGCAGGAATACTCCCTGGGTGGGGTTCCTGGGCTGTGTAAGTGGAGAAAGGGAACTGAGCACAGCATGTATGTGTTCATCCCTCTGTTTCCTGATGGTGGGTGTGGACCTGACCAGCTTTGTGAGGCCCCTGGCTGTCTTGACAACCTCCACAACCATCACCACACCCTGAAGCCATGATGCCTGTACCTTGAACTGTGAGCAAAAAATAAACCCTATCTCCCTCAAGTGGCTTTTGTCAGAATATTTCATCACAGAACAGGAAAAGAAACAAATACAGGGAACTATACTATTTTTGCAATTTTTTCTGTAAGTCCAGATTATTATCCCCTCAAAATTAAAAAAAAAAAAAGTAAACCAATGAAAATGTTTTTCCAACTGACCTGAAATGAACAGAACCACCATTTTACTCAGATGTTGAAATAGGCAGACAACAAAGACTATCTCAGTGTACTGCTGCTAAAGAAAAGCCCAAATAGACTGGATGGAATGCGGCAACTAATTACAAGTCTTCCCAGCTTCCCAAAGTTAACATATATAAACATAGTTCAGAAATGGGAGAAATATTAAAATATCAAATAACATCACAAGGTGTGAAACATGGCATCTTCACTAAGTTCACACCAATCATTAGTAAGGAAGTGAAAAAGCAAATTGAAGGATCACATCAAATGTAGAGGAAGGACCTTAAAATAATGTCTACAACTCCACATGTGTACATTCTATGTGTACATATAAAAGATACCAAGAATGTTAGATCACCAAACCATATACATGGTAAGTATCTGAGTTTTCCAAATGCAATTAAGAAGAATTTCAAAGGGAGTTCCGATAATCAGTCAAATCTCCAAGCGCAAGCTCTAGGTTACCACAAAGAATTTAACCTAACAGAAGGAGCAAATGTAAAGGAACCACTCCTTTTACTACATAATACAAATAGAATCTAATCTAAAAATTTAATGGTCTTTCAGGGCAAATGTTAGGTGCCTCAGTACAGAAGAAATGAACTGTTTAACAACGCTATGTCAATTTGCCAGCTGTGTTTTTCTTCTAGTGTTAGTTCACACTCATAAAAAAGATCCCCTGAACACTCACATTTTAAGACCCAGATTTACAAGTTTAGAAAATTGGAGAACTACTCTAACTATGAAGGTGCTGTCATTAGGAATAACCAAGTTCAAAAAAAACAGACAAAATGTGTTTATAGCAATTAATAAAGTATAAACTATTCATAAGAGAATCATTAATATCAAAACATGGAAAATGTAACTAAATTTTAATAGCATTGCCAACTTCCAATCAATTAAGGATCAATATATTACACCATTGATCTTCCATATATAAGCACACTATTAAAATCTACAACAAGCATGATAGGCCTAACTAACTCAAGCCTTAAATAAGTAAAAAATCTTTAATAAAATTAGAGCATGACGAGATTACATTACTGCTAAGCAGCAGAACACTTCCTTTACTCCAGATACACATTGTCTTATCATAAAAATCTTTAAAAGCTGTCATGGTGACAAGGCAGTAGGTAGGCCGTAGTTCCCTGGCTGGAACAAAACCCAAGTATTCTTCCTAGACTAAGATGAAATCAGATAAATCAGAGAAATAAGTATCACAAATAGAAAGAGATAGTCCTTAACTTAGTGAGTTTTTTTTTTTAAAGAAAAATAATTCATTGTGAGGTAAAAATACTGTGTACTGAATATACCTAGTTACCAAGCATCAGAGATTAGTAGACCTCAGTTGTGCTCTATACACTTACAGTAGCCAACAACTGTTTCATAGCAAGCGCCAAGTATCTTGTGTAACTTACTGAATGCTATAGTAAAAGTAAAAGATTGGTAGCACTGGTATGCTTTAGCACAATTATGAAGTTTAAACATCAACAGTCAAACCACCAGCAGTCAGAACAGTCTTATACAGAAAATGCTGTGGTGATAAGTATATCTGTTCTACAAATTCAGTATCAGGTATACTTAATAACAGAAACATTGTATTATTTTCAAAATTAGTTATATTTTATTCACTTTTGTATAAGTTATTTCTATCTACAATACTGGAAATGCATTCTTGATATTTTTTCTCCTGAACACAATACCCCCCCCCCCCCCCCCCACCCCAGTGACAGAGCCAGGAAGGGAGGGAGGGAAGGAGGGAGGGGGAAGGGGAGAGAACTTGAGGCTAATTATAGAGTAGGATGGTAATTACTAGTGTTATCATTTACTTTAAGGTTTTCTTCTCATGATGTGTTCTGATTTCTACTAATTCCCCATTCTAATTAGATTAATAACTCTCTAGAGAGTCTAAGTGTTCAACTGTCTTAACACATTTATTCTTTTGGTGTTTATATATAAAATAAATATTAAAAGACTGAACATAAAGGGTTGCTTCTCAGAAAAACTTCCTTTTGGGCTTTGCTATTTAAAAGAGGTTAAGCACCAGTTAACCATTCACTGTCCACTATTGAAGATACTAATTACGGGGGAGGTTTTAAACTTAAAATGATTTTAAAATAAATAAAATCTAAATTTCAGCTCTGCAATCACACTAGTACCATTTAAATCTCTAAATAGCCAGTGTCTTGTGGCTACCAAACTTAGCAGTAAAAATACAGAATACTCCCATTACCAAAGAAGAATCTATTGGAAAGCACCCAGTTGATTATCACTTGAGTCTTTCCTCCCCTCATTCCTTATTCCATTCCCACTGCTTTAATCAGCAATGAACATGGTCAATGTTTTTTTTTTTTTTTTTTTCCTTTGAAGAAGCAGAGGTGTACTGACTGTGTAGAATTAAAGTCCCATGCCGCTACATGTAATTTGTAGCTTCAGGGAATGAAGGAATGCCATGATGTCCTGACAGGGTAGAAGGCTCACTCATGAATGAGTGTTCTGCTTCTAAAGGGCTAAGGAATGTGATGAAGACAGTCCTAACAATAAAGCTTTTCCTCACTTGGAAAACTGTTTTTCACCACTGATTAAAACCAATACTTCTGAGTTGGTCGGATGAGTCAGTGGGTAAAGTGCTTGTGGAGCAAGCCTGACCACCTGAGTTTGATCCAAAACTGTCCTCCACATGCACACCGTGGCACTTACACTTTGGCATGCATGTGCCCACACTTGTACACATACACTTACACAATAATAAAGTTTTAACAATAATACTTTTTCAGAATGTGTGAATAAACAATTTAAAACGTACCTGCACGTGGAAAGAGGCGCAAACTGCACACCTTTCTCTTTGCATTCCCTCCTTATTCTTTCTTTCACATTTCTACACAGATCTATAACCCTAGAAGAGAGAGTTGAGTTCAACATGGAGTTTTCAGTGACAATAAATGCTGGTTTATCTGACACTCTTCAGATCATACTTCTCTTATACTTCTCTTAACTACAGCTTTCACGGTTACCTCTTTAAGAATAGACAAAAGCCTTGACCACTTGAGCTTAGCCCTCCATTAATAATTTCAAAGAAAACAAAGTTCTGTCTGGATTTACTTTAAGAAAACATTAGTGAGAAGAGCATACCTGAGACTCCGTCATGGAGTTCCCTACATTCAAGAGAATCCAATTGTAGGGTAAGATGAATTTCAATATTTTATGTTTTCTAAAAGCCAAAAATACAGTCAGGCATGGTGGCCCACACCTTTAATCCCAGCACTTGGGAGGCAGAGACAGACAGATCTTTGTGAGATCCAGGGCAGCCTGGTCTACATAACAAGTTCCAGACCAACTGAAGCTACAGGGATAGTCTGTCTAAAACAGAGACAAAAATACAGTATTAAGGAAAATTCAGTTCTGGGTTGTATGAATTACCAATTTCACTTCGTGCCTAGGAAGCTTTCTTTAATTTAAAAATAATTCAATTGATAATGGCAATGCTATATCAAATGTTAAATAGCTTATTCTCCAACTAAAACCCAATCTGACACTCATTACATATACCATCTGTAAAGTATCATTAAGTTTGTTAGACTGTTTGACATTAAAAGTCAATGAAGACAGGCATAGTGGATCATATAATACCAGCATTTGAGAGTCTGAGGTAAGGGAATGGGAGCTTCAAGGCCAGTCTAAGCTACATAGTGAGACCCTGTCAAAGAAATAAAAATAAGGGGTGGGGGTGGTGGGGCAGTCAGTGAAAATAGACCAAAAGGGACAGTTATAAAACTTTAAAGGGAAGAAGATTTGACAGTCTTTAATAGTACTGATTGTTTTTTTGTTTGTTTGTTTGTTTTGTTTTGTTTTCTGGTCTTTTTGAAGCAGGGTTTTCCCTGTAGCCCCAGCTGTCCTGGAACTCACTATGTAGAGCAGGCTGGCCTTGAACTCACAAAGATCCACCTGCCTCTGCCTCCCAAGTGCTGGGACTACAGGCATGAGCCACCACACCCAGCTCACAGTACTGATTAGTTTTTAATTCATCTTTTAAAATATGACTGTACTATATTGTTTTAATTACATACTTTGCTTCATCTGGAAGGCAAAGCTCTTACAGTGTGAGTGCACACACATTCTAACACAGATTCTGTGTTTTAAACTTTGTCTTATTCAGCATCATGAGAGCTAAAATGATACCAAGGAAACTCAAAGGCTAACCTAACTTGAGTCTTCAAACTGTTGAATGTAAGAGATTAAAAAAAGTGACATCTAAATAGATTATGCTTTATAAACATTAAAATTATCTCTAGTCCCAGGAAAAATAAGGAACTTTGATTAAAATATAAATATGCAAAGTTTTAGCATTTTATTACCATGACAAATTTACTTTTAACAATATAGTATTGACCATTTTATTTGCTTTTACAAAATAGTGCTCAAACTCTGCTTTCATTCATAAGAGCTATGGGTAAATATGACTACTGATGTTACATACACCTCATTTATGGAGTGGTAAGGTGTATGTTAAAAATCTTTGATACAATAGTAAATTTATTGGCATTTAGTATGCTTATTTTGACAACTAAACTATGAAAAATGGTGAGGCTGTGAAGAAAAGGGAATAATTTCCACTGCTCATGGCAGTGCAAACTGGTGCAGTCACTATGGAAATCAGTGTGAAGATTCCTCAAAAAGCTTAAAATTGACCTACCATATGATGCCACCATACCATTCTTGGGTATATATCCAAAAGACTCTATACCCTACTATAGAAATACTTATTCATCCATATTCATTGCTGCCCTTTTAGCTGGAAACTGGAAATAACCTAGATGGATAATGAAGGATTATTCAGCTCTACAAATAGAAATTGGGAAATTTGCAGGAAATTCTCACTGGAAACAATCATCCTGAGTGAGGTAAACCAGACCCAGAAAGACAAAGAGTGCATGTTCTCTCTCAGAGCAGGATGCTAGCTTTGAAATACTAGATATGCATGTTTCGATTTGAAAATCCAGAGAGATCAAGAAACTAATAAATGGACACTGGTGGTGGGGGAAGATTTTTGGGAGGGGTGGTAAAATGCAAAGATATGAAGGAGGAAAGGGGAACATCAGAGTAGGAAGGTTAAATGGAGGGCAGGGAAGAAGAGGGAGTATGGGGAAGGATAAGTAACACGAAAAGCCTTTAGAAAAAGCCACATGGAAACCTACCACTATAGAAGCTCTTCAAGTATACACATACACATTTTTCAAAGATTAAAAGGAGTTACCTTATAACGCAAGGACCAACATTGTCCTTTACAAATATCATAGGTTAATAAGGAGAAAAACAGGAACCTCAATGCCAGAAATGGACTACCTCTCTAGAAGCTGTGACCAGGGAATCCCATAGAATCTCAAGCACTAGCCACTGTCCCTTGCTCTTGGTTACCCATCAGAACTGGATGGTAAGACCCTATTGTTAAAGATACTACATACATGAGCTGTAGAACAAACAAGGAGAAATCAAACTGGTGCTGACTTCAGAGCTTCATCTCTACTGGCTAGTGTTCGTAGTGCTGGAAGGTGCTATACATGCTACCAGAAGGAAAAAATATGATCATCAACCTTATCCAGCTGTGAATCCTGTGAACTACAACAACAACTTGCCTGGCAAGATTTGTCCAGAGGTTGCAATAGTGGCTTGAATATTATGGGAATAATCAACCACTCTTTAATTGGATTGAAGGTCCACTTCCTAGGATGGAGCCCATACCCAACATTGGCATCAGGCTTAGGAAACTGTATTAGACAGGTCACAGGACATAGGAAAGAGGCTAATACTAGTCTCCTACTAGTAATTATTAAACTGACTCCTAATGGCTTATTTTTCTACCCACAGATTAATGCATCCCTCAACTCTCACCAGAGACATTTCCTTATGCAGCACATGGTGATTAACACAGAAACCCACAATTAGTCCTAGCCTATGTGCAGGGAACAAGAGGATGCACAGTGCTTATCCTTGAATAGGGTACCTATCTCAAACTTCTATCTCCCAAGGCTCAGGGATCAAATCACTGCAGAAGAGGGGCAGAAAGGTTGTAAAAGCTAGAAGTGATAGAAGGCCACAAGAAAACAGAGGTTTCCATACAAATGGTCAGTTACTCATATGCACTCACAGCAATGGTGACAGAGTACAGAAGTCCCATGCAAGCTCAAATCAGACAAAAATTTCAGCACAGACATGGGGAAGTGGGTAAGAAACCCCAATACAACCTAAGGACATTTTGGCAACCAAAGGCTGCTGGAGGAGGAGAGACATTCTGTTTCAAGGAAGAGAATCTTGGTAGGTTAACCAGGCTCCAATGGATGAACCCACACTGAAGGATATTTGGAGACACAAAGTAGACTCTGTAGGTCTTATTATATACAAAATAGAGTACATTAAACTAGGCGGGCAGCAATAAGGGGAGGTACAGATGGAGAGGGGAATCTAAATACCATCAAATTATATTGTGTAAAAACAGCAATATTTCAATAAAATGTTTAAATTTTTTTCTTGCTTGATCCATTAGCAAATTTGGCACTGGTAACCATACCCTCCTTCAAAAAAACTTCACTGGGCTTTTCTCACACCTCACTGGTTTTCTTCCAAATCCTATGGGTAGTATTCCTCCATCTTCTTTACCACCTTACATGCTAAGATTCCCTAGACTTCTTTCTCAGGCACTCATTTTTTCTCTATACTCTGTATGATTTGTGTTTATATACACGGCTCTAGGTTTTAATACTAAGAGCTCTGCTGGTATCTCCAAAGCCTTTAAATCTTTAACTTTTATCATGGCTTTATTGATAGGCTGTCATCTCATATTATTTCAGAGCTCATTCACAGAACTCATCACAGAATATTCATTGAGCACCTAAGGGGAGCAGTACTGTGGTCACTGTGGGATATGCAAAGATTAGTAAGACAGATAGCTTCTTAAGTGGTGTATGCATGCCAAGGCCAATGGCTTAACTATGTAAAAGCATTGGAGACTTTGGTTCTGTGGGATACTGCTAATGCTGGTCTACTTGCTTAGTTTGAAAATCAAAGCAAGCTGCTAAATGAGTGATGAATTTCATATTTAAAATGTAGGCTCTTTCTATTAATGTTATTTATTAAAACTTCAGCTAAAGAAACTGTTTCTAATGGAAACAAACCAATATATAACAGAACATAAAAGAGAAATTATCAAGTCATCAATTAAATAAATATGTGTATATACAGGAACTGATGAAAAAAAATTAAATAACTTAAGATTGGCCTCCAGAGTTTAAAGAATAAAAAGACAAGAGGACAGTCATCAGTTAATATTATTGATAAGGAAATTATAATGCGAAGAGATAATACTATACTAACTCATTTTCCCAGGAACAAAGAATGAATGTTTGAGTCCATCTCAAAATGCATATATTGAAATCTTCTCTTTTGTCCCAAGTGATAGTTTGAGACAAGACCTTGAGCCTTTGTAAGGTAATCAAGTCATGAGAATGATGTCCTTACAAAGAAAGAGAAGGCTGGCTTTCTTTCTGCTTTTAGCTACATTAATACACAATGAGAAGAGGGCCTTCTGTCAACTAGGAAGAAGACCTTCATAAGCTACCCAGCCACCTTAATCTCACTTTTCTTTCTTTTTTTAAATTATTTTTTATTTTATGTGTATGAGTTTTACTTGCATGTATGTAAGTGCACCTGTGTTGTACAGTGACCAACAAAGGCCAGAAGAGGATGGCAGATTGCTTGGAACTGGAGTTTTGGGTGGTTATGAGCCACCACGTGGGTGCTGGGAACTGAACCTGAGTCCTCTGTCAGAGCAGCCAATGCGCTTAACCACCGAGCCGTCTCTCCAGACCCCTAATCTCACTTTTCAAACATACAGACTATGAGGGAAAAATGACTCAGTTTAAAAACATTTAAGCCATCAACTCTATGGTAGTCAATATACCAATCCAACTAAGCCACAAGCAGGAAGAGGAATAAAAGGGCGATACTATAAAACGAGTTCATTTCTAACAATTCATGAAATTTGACCACCAGTGCACCGAAAGTCAAAATCTGTAAGTAGACAATGACAATTTCAAAAAGACAGTTTTCTGGAGGGAAAGAATGAGGGAAGAAGAGAACACAATGTGAAAATATGTACTATCTCAACAGTAGGTTGAGAAGAATGTTAGAGCCTATATACTTCATTATTGATTTAAAAGATTTCATAAATTTTATAAAGTAAAGGTAAAATATAAGGATTTCAAAGAAAATAAAATATACCAACAATTTCCTTAAGAATTTATTGAATGAGTTAATGCAAAAGTCCATTTTGGACCTGGAGAGATGGCTCAGCAGTTAAGAGCATTGGCTGCTCTTGCAGAGGACCTGGGTTCAGTTCCCAGTACCTACATGGCAGCTAACAATCATCAGTAACTAAAATTCCAAGGGATCTGACACCCTCTTCTGGCCTCCAAAGGTACCATATGACACTGGTGTACTTATATACATGCAGGCAAAACATTCATACACACAAAATAAAAATAAATTTTAAGTCCATTTTTAATAAAACTATCTCACATTTCCTATCAGTTTTATTATTAATTCTCTAAACCCTTTGTATGCACATGAGTGTATGGGCATATATGTGTGTGTGTGTGTGTGTGTGCGCGTGCGTGCGTGCGTGCGTGTGTGTGTGTTTACAGAGCAGAAACTTAGACAATACTTCGATTTATTTTATTTAGGACATTTTCTATACTATGTTCCAGCACTAAAATTTTGCTTACATTTAAAGGTAGAAATGCTTAATTTCTTAAATGGGATTTCTTTCAGAAAAAAACATGTCATTCAGAGAAAGATACTAATTTAAACAAGAGTAGATTCCTTATTTCAGTTTCTTAAAATTTTTTTTAAGCTTTACATATTCACACACAAAATGCATTATATGAATACATATGTCATGTATCAACTCATAAAGTATATTTAAACAAGGCATTTTATAAGGTTTCACCTGTCCCAAGGAGCAGAAGTCTCAAAAGATTCTCCAATTACATAGTACTCCAAACCCAAATCCTGTTAAGAAAAATAAAAATCACAAAATTACAACAGATGCAATTAGTATCAACATGTTAGAATTCAGGTACATGCTGGCACTACATTTCTCACCCACACTGTTATGTATGGGTACATACTTTATAACACAACTGGAAAGTTTCTGAAAGTTGCACCGCCTCCCTGAGGACAGCAACCTGTTTGTGCTGTTGTCCATATCCGTGGCAGCACACACAGTGTCTGACACAGGGAAAAAAGAAAGAAAGAAAAAAAAAAAACCTGAAATATTTCTACAGTGAATGAAGTCTCTATCCAGGAAAAGTCCATGTATATGTAAAGACTAGGGAACAAAATTTTAGTGATCTAAAAAGCAAAACAATCCACATAAAAATTGAGCACCAAGATGTAAGTTAAGAAGGAAGTAGGGAGGGGAGATGCTTTCTTCATATCAACTTTTATTTAGAAACAAATTTAGAAAATGCAGTGCCTATCCTTGAAGTGACAGAACAGAAGAACATCTGGAGACAGTTTTGCTATAAAAGCACTTTATAGCATGTAAGATATATTTCTTTTACAAATAACACAATATTTAATTTCTTTACCCAAAGCATAATCAAAGCTAGAAAGAAAGACTCACAAGTCATTACAGAAATGGAAAATTTTGAATGAAAACTTTCGAAGGTATAAAAACCAGTACATGTTTTCACTCCCAATAAAAACAAATCAACTCCACTAAGGGTTAGCAGGACATTCCTCACCCAAAATTACTGATGTAAAATGTGTGCCTTTGCATTATGCATTCATTTATTTGGGAAACATATTTCATGACAATGGTAATATGCATTAGAAAAATGTTATTTTAAAGATAAAGCAAATAGGACCAGAGAGATGGATGAGTGGGTAAAAGTGGCTACCACCAAGCCTGATGATCTGAGTTTAATCCCCAGGACCCACATGGTGGGAGGAGAGAGCTGACTCCTGCAGATTATCCTCTGACCTCCACACGTGTGCTGTGGCACCTGCATCCATATGCATACACATACACATACAAAATAATTAAATGTAAAAAAGAAAAAATAATAATAAAGCAAATAAATTTAGAGAGATAGCTCCTAATTTGCTTTTGTTTCAGCCTCAAAATTAATTGGGACTTTTTAAAAATTAAGAGTTTTTCCTCCAAAGTACATCTACACTGTACTCATCACAGTTATATTCTATTTTCTAGAATTCTGATTTCAACAGATGTCCCTCAAAATACTCAGAGGAAACATCTTACAAATTTTATAGACTTTATAGATTCTCAATGATTTCCTCTCAGAAGATCTGGGATATTGAGAGTCTATAAGAGGCAGAGCCAAAATCATCTACTTACTTTGGTGACTTATACATCTCCTAAGCAGAATTCCTAACACAGTGAGCAGGCAATCAATCTGCTTTCCCTGTAAGTCACTGATTGGGGGGTGGGGTTGCTGACTATTCACTATGATGTGAAACTTCAACCTTAGCTAGGACTAAATCATTTCTAAAATGATCACCCATTAAATTCAGGCTTTCTGAGAGAAGTAAAAACAAAGTTTACATTAATTTTTATAAACATTGCCTTCAAAACAACTTCCAATTAGAAAATCAGAAAACACAGCGTTTGAGAAAGCCAAGTTTTTACAAAGTTAGCCAAGAAATGTCTTTTCAGAATAAGACATTCGGCCGGGCGTGGTGGCATATACCTTTAGTCCGAGCACTTGGGAGGCGGAGGCAGGAAGAGCTCTGTGAGTTTGAGGCCAGCCTGGTCTATGTAGTGAGTTCCATGCCAACTGGGGCTACAGGGAGACACTGTCTCAAAAAGACCAAAAGAAAAAAAATAAGGCATTCAACTTATGTTAACTTATGATAACAGGTAAATTCTTCTTAAAGTAACTTCAGTAACAGTAGAAAACAATTAAGAAACTTGAGTCTGTTATAGCTTTGTTAGGAAAACAAAATTAAAAGAACAAATGAAAACAAATTAATTTTGAAAGGACAGTTTTGTGTCAGTAAACAGCAGGCATGAAGTGAGCAGGGCCGATGACACTTCTCACACATGATCTGCAGCTTTTCAAGCACAAGTGCACATGGATTATTTCCTTGTTTTTGCACTGTAACCATCACTAATGAACCAGGGACTACTTGGAATCAACTTAAACCTCCATTTTTAAAGAAGGGTAAAGATTTATAGACCTTTAAAATGGATTATAAATCAAACGAAAGTTGTTGCTAAATAAAACAGCTTGATTCTAAACCAAGTAATATTAAGAAAGGCATGCTCAACTTTCAGACAGAGAATGACTCCATTCTTTTAAAGAGCAGAAAGACATTAAAACTAAGGTCCTCTAAAGCATATACAGAAAGTTTAAATGGGCAGCAAATCCAAAGTTAAGTACAATGATGTGCTAAATTAGAGTAGCTTAATAGTAAGGCAATTTTATTAACTCTAAGCAAGAAAAACTATTGTTTACAATATAAATCAACAACAGAAATACAACTTACACGTATGTACGCAATGACATAAGTTAGCAAATAACCTCTCTGTCCATTATCTTCTCCAGCTGCTAAACCACTAAAATTAAAAAACAAGCTGTCAATACATTTTAAGTGAACTAATAAAAACACAAAAAATTCAAACTGATGACAATATCTCAAAATAACAGATTAACATGTATTATACTCATTTAAAAATATTTTATTATTTTTAATTTATGTGTATGAATGTATTGCCTGCATGTGTGTAAATGTACCACATCATGTAATGCCCACAGACGTCAGAAGAGGGTGTCAGATCCCATGGAACTGGAGTTGCAGACAGTTGTTAGCCACCACATGAGTACTGGGGACTGAAATCAGGTCCTCTGCAAGAACAGCTAGTGCTCTTAACAACTGAGTCATCTCTCCAACCCCTATTACACTCGCTTTTATCTTAGCCTCATTTATCATAAATATGCCAGAGTTGTCAAGAGAATAAGCCTGGAGAACAAAAAAAATCTGAAAACACTTTCTTATATTACAACCTAGTCATTTAATTTCAAACATTTATCCACCAAGCTAAATGAACTCATGTTCAACTACTCCCTATCTTAAAAGAACAGATTCAGGTTGGAGAGATGGTTCAGTGGGTAAGAGCACTGGTTACTCTTGCAGAGTACCCAGGTTCGGTTCCCAGCACCCCCATGGTGGCTAACAACTGCCTGTAACTCCAGTTCCAGGGGATCTGATGCCCTCTTCTGACTTCCGTGGGCACTGCATAAATGGGTGTACTTTCACATACATAAGCAACACACTCATACATATAAAATAAAAATAAAAATAAAGAACAGACAAAGCATCAGTCACAAGGAACAGGCTTAAATAACCTTCACAAAACTAGCCAAGATACTTATAATATTCTTATTTTATCTGTATGAGTAGAATAGCCCTAATCTGAAATCCAAGACGCTATGAAAGCTAAAACTTTCCGAGTACTAATAGCATACCACAGTGGAGAACCACACTACACTTCATGCAGTGGGTTGCAGTGAAAATTCAGGTAAGCTAAAAACACTGCATAAATTAACTCCAGGCTTATGTATAAGTTAACCTTAAACAAATCAATTCTAGGTTTAAGCACAGGGTCCAGTCCCAAGATATCTCATTATGCATATGCAAAATATTCTCAAGTCTGAAGAAGCTCAAAATCCCAAACACTTCCGGTTCCAAACATAAGAGCTATTCAATCTGCTTTACATTTTTAGTCTTACATTCACATACAGTTTTATTCATATGTAAAAATGTGTGATGACTGACCAGGAACTTCCAAATACCAAGAAGTTTATCAAACACCACGTAGTATTTGGGGTGTTAGGCATGATGTTAAAATTATCAAAGTTTATAAAACAATATATAGACAGCTATATATCATAGAAATGGTGTTTGATGATCTAGTTAGAATTAATTCTATATAACATATCATCTGGTCCAAGTTTTCTGGTTTGTTGAGGTTCTCATTTTAAAAGACAATAAATGAATACTGCTTTCAACTACCTCTAGAAAATACTTATTACTTACTCTTTTTCTATATCAGAGAAAAGTTAAATCATTTTAGTCAACTAAAGAAAGAACCACTTCTTATAACCCCAATTGATATTTTATAATTAAACCATTTCTTCTGTTTATGTTTTGTTTGACTTGATAGTAAATGGTATGATATAGATACATCCTTGTTCTACATAAATATTATAAGACTGTTTTTGGCTAGAATTTGGGCCAAAAAAGAATTCCCTGACTTACTCTTACACGTAGATATTTTTAAAATTAGGGGCATCCAGAAGGAGTGGCAAAGAATTGTCAGAAGCAACTCTAGTTTAGAATTCTTAACCTAGAGTATAATGAAAAGGATGCAATGTTCATGAACCAGTAAGATAGAACTCAGGTTAAACTGCTCAAAGTGAATGGAAGGGACCGAAAAACAATTCTGGGTTGGATGTGACATCTGAGGCACAGCCAAATAAAGTTTCAAAACCACAAAATTACTATGGCAAGTACTTAGAGGAATGCAGGAAGACACAAAAACAGCACAGACCTAGAAAGTAGAAGCGGTCTCTTCCCCTGAACTATTAACAGAATGGAGAGTGAAGGTCGGAAAATGGGGCAGGGGACCTGTGCTGGGAATCTTTGAGACGGAACCTGCTAAGATGCTATGTGGTGAGAAGTAATAGCCTGTTTCTGCTTCCCAGGTGAGATAAGGTCTTACTTTCCTGCCTAGGTCAAGTCATTTTCCTTTCAACCTTTTGGTACTATTTGGTGGTGAAGGATCCATTTGATACTGGGATCCAGTGGGATGAGCCCTACACAAAAAAAGCTTTATAAAAAAAAGTTGAAAGGCCAGCCTGGTCTATATGGTGAGTTCTAGGACAGCTGGGACTACAGGGAGACCCTGCTTCAAAAAGAAAAAAAAAAAAAAAAAAAAAAAAAAAGTTGAAAGCAAAAAAGACTAACCAAAAACACCAAAACCAAAACCCTCAGACACAAAAAAATAAAGACAACCTGTAATTAGACATTCTGAATCACAAATTTCCCCCAAACTTAGCTTTTTGGAGCCTCTCTTTTTTGTGCTTTTGGAACTGCCAATCTAGCCAGAATCAATTTAAGGTACAATATGTAAGCAATCATAAAACTTGGATAAATACTTCTGAATTGTCAATTTTGTAGCCACTCCAAAAGGAAAAAAAAAAATACACTGAGACTCAGACTGCTTTATTTTAAAGTAGAGTATCCATTCTTTACTTCTTGTTCTCAAAATTGCAAACACAATCTACAAGGTCCGTAACATATTTAAAGCTGTTTCATGATAGAGTGGGAAGGTGACTGCAATAGAAATGTGAGGCTGTCATTTTATATAAAAGGGCCACTGGGCCAAACTAATCACTCTCATGCTGAATTATGTTAAATAACTTAAGCACACTTTAAAAATAATGGTAATGGGGTTGGGGATTTAGCTCAGTGGTAGAGCGCTTGCCTAACAAGTGCAAGGCCCTGGGTTCGGTCCTCAGCTCTGGAAAAAAAAAAAAAAAAGACAAAAAAAAAAAAATAATGGTAATAACGGTTCTATGGCAAACATCGTCGAAACACTTCTCATGGCCGACAGGAGATGTCTGTTCTGCTCAGCTCTTAGAAGTAAAGTACTTTACTAGCAAACATGGATAAATAATCAAAACATGGTTACTCAGCATTTGGCTACTACGTCCTGTTGGATCCTGTGTTCAGGCATATTCAACAATGCTGAAGTGGGACTGGAAGGCAAGGAGGGAAAAAGTGGCTAAGACATAAAAACATTCTACATTATTAGAAGTACTCCATTAAGAATGATCAATTTTAGCTAATGAGGTATTGTTGGATAGGCGTGTCCTCAGAAAGAACAAGTAACAGCTGAATGTCTGAACCCTAAGAGCCTCCGTAAAAAGCGAGGAAGATAGTCATTCCTCCCACCCAATCAGTCGGCTTCAACTGCATGAGGGAGAGGATTCTAAGGAGGAACACCAAGGAAGCGGGAAGGTGACAGGAGGTTTGCCATCTTAGCCAGTGCTCTGGCAGCACCCGATCTGAAAAGCTCAGCCAAGACATAGGGAAAAAAGCTCACAGGTGCATGCCTTTGTAAGTAACCCTCTTCCAGACATCATAAACTCTGTACAAAAACCCAAATACATTGTGTCAGTTTTGTTGGTCATCGGGGGAGAGAGGGTCACAGCGCACCTCACAGAAGGCCTAGAAGCCGAGACTCCAAGCAGTGGGGGCCTCCCAGAAGAGAATTCGGCTTTCAGGTAATAAGAACGGAAGATAAAACAAAAGGAGCTAAAGGAGAGATTAATAATGCCCTAATTAAAAACAAAACAGATGAGCTCAACTAAGATACAAAAACTTTAGCAAAAGAAATTTGGTGGTGCAGAAAGAAAAGAAACTGGCAGATCCAGAGTTGACAGTGAAGCACTTAAAGAAGAAGATATTCATTGAGTCTTTGGTAATCAGAACAGAAATTTATGTTTACTGAAAACAGGAAAACTAAAATCCTTGCTTAAAAAAAAAAAAGGTACTATATTTCAAAGAATTAAAAAAATTAAAATAGCCTTAAGTCATTTCCTAATGACAATTGGGATTGTTCAAAATGAATTTTCATATCCAACTAGGGAAGCCAGGATAAAAGTACATGAAGAAATTAATTTTAATTAAAAAGGAGCAATCCTGCCAGGTGTGGTAGCATACACCTTTAGTCCCTGCACTCAGGAGGCAGGGGCATGTGGACCTCTGTGAGATGGAGGCCAGCTTGGTCTTCATAGTGAATTTCAGGCAGCTGGGCTACAGGGAGATCTATCTCAAAAAAAAAAAAAAAAAAAAAACCCCAACAAAAAAAGCCCAAAACTACCATGGTACACTGACTTGTCAGCAAAATACTCATCTACATAAAATAAATAAAGTCAGGCATGGTAGCACACCTTTAAAGTACCAGCACTTGGGAGGCACAGTTCAAGGCCAGCCTGATCTACATAGTGAGTTCCAGGCCAGCTGGGGCTACAGGAAGACTCTGTCTCAAAAAGACAAAAAATAAATAAATGAGAGCAAAACTAGCAAAAAGGAAATGAGATCCTAATCTGAGCCAAGGTTTTTAATGCTTTACTTTTGCTTTAAGCTATTTCATTTACTAAAATCCATTTTTAAATATTTTATTATTTTTATCTTATGTGTATGAGTATATTGCCTGCATGTACATAAGTGCACCTTTGTCATGTAATGTGTGCTGAGGTCAGAAGAGAGGGAGTCAAATCCCCTGGAACTTTAAATACAGTTGTTAGCCGCCATGTGGGTGCTGGGAACCGCACCCAGATACTCTGCAAGGACAGCCAATATTCTTAATCACTAAGCCCTTTCTCCTGCCCCCTAAAACCCATTTTAAATGGATGAATGTGAGCCAAGTTTTGTTCAGAGTAAGCAAAATTACTAGAATTAAGTCAATAGTATCTCAAGGAGGTTCGACCTCCTATCTTAGAGAAGATTTACTTTGTTCTCAGGCTATTTTGTGAGAGAACAAAACTGGCATTAGTAACATTTATGACAGCTGGTGGTTCAAACAAACAAAACTGTTAGGCTGATTCTGATAAAGCTCTAAAGGTTAAAATGAACATTTTTTTTTTCAAGAAAAATAGTAATTAGGCAGAAATGGAGCAGAAAAAAAAAGATATCAGAAAAGAAACATAGTACTGAGTGTCACGCATTCAGTCAACAAGGTAATCAAGCATGTGCACACAGAATGTTCTAGGCAACAAAGTAACACTAAGAGGAAACGATTATGCCTTATGAAGATTGTATGTGAGGTAAAACAAAGACATTTTTCATCATTTACCTTCTGCATTATAATGGGAAATGTGATACATCACTAACCATTTCCTAGCTTCACTTTGAACTACAATTATAATGATTAATTCTTCAAAGTGGTGTGGGGGGGTTATGTGTTATGGAGTAGGAGAATAGTGAGGTGAAGCTAAGCCAATTTAACCCCACATACAGTGACCCAAATGTGGCAAAATGTTTTCATTTCCATCCAAATACTTCTGAAAAATTTTGAAATTCCAATTAAATGTTTAACTACGCAAGGATCACTCCTCAGCCTTTTGGCTAAGATGAAGCATTCAATGTAAGGATAAAAATTTTAAACCCTCAATTTCTAATATGTCAGGCTAAAGCAGATATAGAAAGATACTATTATCGCCTTTCTGACTAGAATCTTGTAAAAGGAAAAAAAATCTTTACTCTTTTAAACAAAGTATATTTGTACTCCATATAACTTAGAAGCTAAAAATAGAGAGACAGAGACAGACAGACAGACAGACAGACACACACACACACACACACACAGCTAAATTTCTTCTGTGAAGGAAAACACGTGCAAGGCAAAAGCTCAAACAAAAATGAGATAACTTGAAATCTACTTGGTCATTAAGTGAATCTTTATAGTAGAGCTACTTTTAATTAATTTAGTTGGAAGATGAGCAATTCTGCCAAAAAGTTAATTATGGGAAAGAAGGTGAAAGACTGGTAAACTTCATCTTTTATTTAGAGATTAAAATTGTACTTGCTAGTTTCAGAATATAGTAAACATAAAATAAGGATTTATTTTCAATACTCAAAAACAGAACAAGAATAAAGTAAAAACTCAGCCCAAAACTAGACTGTTTTCCACTCTAAGAATACTTTAATGCTAATTTCAAGCAATTCTAGAAGTAAAGGGCTAGCTTAAGATAAACAAAAAATTGAGACATTCCAAAACATTTATCTCTCACTTAAATGCTTGTTTTTTTAAAGACAAAAAGAAAGGACTTGAAATAACTATTTAAAAGGAATTCAGACTAAGCATAATATGCCTGATATATTTTAACCCCTGAACAACAAAAAAGGTAAAGACTAGTACTTGAGAAAATTGTTAGTTCATGTACTTAATTTAAAAAGGAAGGGAAAATGTAGTCCTGATAAATGGCATTTCCACTAGCAGTCTCACTGATCAGTCTTATAATCCATCAAGCAGACAGACAGAAACCACCCTATCATTATTCAGGTGGTTATAGACATGAAATGTTTTCTGTTTCTTTATACCAACATAAAACAGTAAGTGACAGGGGATGGAGTAGAGATAATTCATCAAGTACCATGGACTAAACACAATTTCCTTTTAAAAACACATTAACATACACGTACTAATATCAGTAAAGAGTAACCTGACACAACCATATCATATACCATAAGCCTGTCATTCACGCAAAAAAAATCTAGAAAAACCTATTTAACTCTGTGTGTGTGTGTGTGTGTATGTGTGTGTGTGTGTGTCTGTATAATTATACAAAAACAACATATCATACTTCCTAAAAATTTTGGAATAAAAAAATATTTTAAAGTTTGCTTTCATAAATTACAACAAATTTAAGAGTAAACTTAAATTAGTAACTGATGATACATGCAGCCTGTGTGGAAACATGACTATTTGGTGCTTTAGTAACTACACCTGGAAATATTAGAGGTTTAGATTCTCTTCAGATTATAAACTTAAAGTCATACCCAAATTTTGCAGCAATGTCATACACTTGTTTTTCATGTTGAAGAACCTTCTCACGATCCCCCTCAAACAGTAATGTGGCTACACTTAGTTGATTTGGATCAAATCCTTTAAACTACAAAACATAAAATACAATTTTATTACAGGTAAGTCATACTACAAAATAAACCAAAATACATTTTGCTCTTTTCCTTCTGATGTGAGCTACAATATATCAACTTCTTAAAAAGTCAGCTTTGAAACTTTACACATCAATTAACAAGAACGCTTAATGTACCTACTCAGATGACTATCAGCTCAGTGGTAGAGCACTTGCCTAGCATACATGAGGCCCTCAACTCAATCCCCAGTATTATGAAAACACACAAAAAACTGAAGCATATGAAATATACCTTCATTCAAAATATACTATGGTTTTATAATGACACACTGGTATATAAATAAAACAAATAATTTCCCAGAATTTTAACTTAATTAAAACAAAATCACAAAATGATGAAAAAAAGTAGGGGCGATAGAGGGGCGGGGGGAGGTCAATAATACCTCTATACACCAACAATAAATATATTAAATAGTATTTTCAAAAAAATATCTCATGCATGAAAAGAACTAAGACTAATCTTTACAAGAAATATAACTTCATTAGAAAAAAATAGGTAAGACAGATGTTCTTATAAATGCATGAATTATTACAAACCTACTAATACTTGCCCAAATTAATACACTAGAATATTTCAATTCTAATAAAAATTCCAATGGTCTTTCTAAAGGGCATGTTTCTAAAATTTTCCTAGAATAATGAACATATGATGGCAGTAATAAAGAAAATTCTGAATAACGAGAAGAAAAACCAGACCACTATAACAATTAAACCCATTTAACTTTTCAAGAACAGCAATAACAAAAATGTTAAGAATTAGAAACATTAAAATGTGGTCTAATTCTTGACTGAGTCCTCAGTAAGGTGCCTTAAGCAAGGCACCTCAATGTGAAAAGAAGCAGGGATTAGAGACAAGGTTAATTTAGATCCTCATCTAACAGCAAAAGACTGAAGTAAATGAAAAAAAAAAAAAACCTCACTGAACACAAAGAGGGGGAGCTAAGGCTATAGTTAGTGGTAGAACACTTGCTTGTTATGTATAAGGCCCTGGGTTTACTTAATTCCCAGAACAGCAAAAACAAAAAAACTGATAAAACTAAACAATAATGGGGGAAAGGGTTGGGTGTCCTTAGTCATACTAACAGAGCAAGTGTTTTCCAAAAAGAGATTAATCAGAAGAAAAGGAATTAATTTGAAACTTTGGCACCCAAAAGAAAAACTCCTATTAATAGGGAGGTACTAGACTAGAAAATATTATTTACAAAATTTATGACAAAGGGCATCTAATAATTCCATTACTCAAAAGGGCATATATCGAAGTACAATGAAAAACAAGCAGCCATCCATGGCACAACAACCATATTCAATTAATCTACACAAAAATTGCATTATCTAAAATAAGCAAAACAACAAAACCCCATGCATTAGCAAGTCTACAAGAATGAAATGACACACACTTATTGCCATTGTGGTACAAGCTGGCATAACCTTGGAAAGCATCTAGTAATCACAGGTTAAAAGAATAAAGGAATCCATCCATACTCAATACACTCAGTTCATCATTACAACTGTAAAGGAAAAATTGAAGCTATAGAAAATGTTATCAGCATAAGACTATTCAATGCAGGGTTTTTTTTTGAAACTTTAAAACTGAAAAAGAAAAATTTCCAAATCTGACTGGATGATGTATTTTATCAAATACTTGTTTCAACATGAAAAATAAAAAGCAACATGGAAAAATACCCCTAGTAGGTTGTATCAGGGGAAGGAAAAGAAGCAAAATTAATACCCTATGGTTTAAAATTTTTAGATTTTATAGTCTTACCTTTGTAATATAAAACTTTTTTAATCCATCTAAAAATGATGTAAAAATAGAGGAGACCTGAGGTTTAAGAGCATGACCTGGGAAGTAAGAGGGAAGACGTTTACAGATTAAATTAATAGCAAATTCAGTGTTTCTCAGATCAAAAGTCAGTGTTAGTTTAGTATCTTAAGAAAGCAAAGTTTTAAACTGTGATTTTTTTAAACCTCCCAATGTTTATATAAATGTTCATATTAAGATCATGATCTTTTATCTTTACATTCTTTTAAAAGTTACAACTTTTTACTTACAAAACTCATTCTGTTTTTTAAGTCAAATTACTACGTGTAATTAATACTATACATAGTTTGGGTTATCTTTCAGTAGCATGGTTTACACATAGTGAAACCACTTCATTAATTTTTATTTTATTAAGAACAACCAATGGTGCCTAGTTTTGCTATTTTTTTTAATTATAAAAAAACCATTCAGAACTATAACCAAATATGGAGTAAAGTTTAAGGTTGTTTCTTAATTAATTCTTAACTCACCCAGAATTCTTAGCATAAAACTAGCAATTGCTTCCTTAATCACACCCAGGGAGTTAAAATTGCTAAAATAACACAAATGGCATTCCAGAGTCTGTTAAATTAACATCTCTGCCTGCAGATTAAGCTCAATTGAGTGAAAACCTTTTACTGTTTTCTCATCCTTATTCAAGAATAGCAATTTCTCAATGCCTGTGATGGGTACAGTTAAGAGTAATCTGGCCTCAGTAGTATGAGCCCAATTCAGAAATTACTCCATATCATTTAGGCAGAATTTTCATTAAAAAATCTTGAAGTCTTTAGCAAACCTAAAATTACCTTCAAATAAAGGAAGCTTGCTTATTTTTTTAATAAACACTTTAAGCTTTGAGGCCTTTGTTTTGAATTATAAGATCTTCCTAGAAAATAAATGCAAACAGCAAAGTAGCTGTTTTTAAAACAATCACTGCTAGTCTTTTGTTCCAATCCATCTATTCTTTGAAGTGAGAACTTGAATCTGTAATACTACATTTTTGCTGATGATTACAGGAAAACTATGTTACATTAAAAACCTAAGCAATAAGTCTTAACCAGAGACTAAGAGCTATCCATGCTATAGCTGAGACAATGAAAGAAAACAAAAGAAAAATAAACAAGAAAACAAAGAAAATGAACTGCAGGTTAGCTAAGAAAACAACTTAACAATATTCCTGAGCCTCTGGGTCAAAAGTAAGATTTATTTAGGTTTTTTTTTTGTTGTTGTTCTCTCTCATTATAATCTTCCAGAGTTATTTCTCCAGCACACTATGCTTTAAAAGATAATTTCTAACATCTATAAATTTACAAACAGCACATCATCAAGACTCTCACTTCCTATACCAAATAGAGCTCATTCTACATTAACTGAAAATAAACATATAAATGTATTGAGTCAGGTCTGGTAGCACAGGCATGTAATCCCAGCTCCCAGGGAGGCTGAGGCAGGAGGACTGAAAGTTCAGAACCTGCCTGGACAAACTAAAGGGACCTGGTCTCAAATATCAAAGAAAAGGCTGGGATGCATATCAGCTATAGAGTGCTGGTTTTACAACTGTTATGCTTTAAACTTCCCAGTTTTTATACAGATGCTCATAAAGATCACCATCTTTATATTATTTTAAAGTTGCAAATGTTTAATTTAAAAAAGCCTAGTATGCCCAATGCTCTGGGTTCTATCCCTAGAACCACAGAAGTGTTAAGTTCTTGCAAAGATTTAAGATATTCTTTATACAAAAGTCTTCAAATTCACTATCTTTATACAATGCATGGGAACTTCAAATGTTACTACTCCTATGTGAAATAACCCTTAAAGATAAATGTTCACCTTAACCCACTGACACAGATGGGCAACATTTCCATTTCACTGGTGGGAATCAGCCAGACACATCCCTAACACTGAATTGACACAGCCCTGAAGTATTAGTACTAACTTGGGTGAAAAAAAAATCTTTTGCTTTTTATTTAATTAATGTTACCCTTCAAACTGTTACATTCTAAATGTATTCTGGTTAGTGTGTTTTACTTTTATAGTAAATTGATTTCTAAATCTACTGGCTGGAGAGCTTGATTAGTGAATTTCATACTATTATAATGTTAATTTAAAGAAATTTATTAATGATGTATGTCTGAAGTGGTTTGAGACTGGATAAAGTTCTTGAGCGTTGAAATCATATAAACTGAGTTCAGTCTCAACTCTACTATGCAGGGCTTGTAGACGCCAATGAAAATATTTAGCCTTCAGTTGTGGAAATAGCACCTTTAAGAACAGCTGTGAAGAGGTTTGTGACAAACTGTGCAGCTGATAATGCATTCAGCATTGTGCTTCAAGTTATCTAGGATTTGTTCGCTCTGGTTTGCCAGCTTAGGGATTATCTCCACCAATATCTCAATGTCCACTATGTGATTGAGTGCAGGAGATATAAAGATGACTAAGAAAGATTCACAAAATTGAGACCTTGCAGGAAATATGTACATTATTACAATATACTAGAAATAATTTCAGTATACTATATTACTATATAATAATGGGTTTTGTACCTTGCTAAAGGTACAGCACAAACAATGACCAATCAGTCCAATGGCTGGTTCAGGATCCTGGATATCACTTGCTGTGCTAAGCCTTACTCTTAACTGCTTCATCATAAAGCCTTAACAGAATATACACACATATAGTCTTCAATGGACACTGAGGAATCAAAAATGTAATAACCTAGAGCAATGTTGCCAGATGGGACTTTCTAGAAAAAGGAAAATCCAGAAAAAGGGGAAGGATGTGTGAATATGATCAAAATATATGACATAGTTCAAAGACCTTCTCATTATGAAACCCAAAACTATGCACAATGAATGCATACTAATAAAATAGGAAAATGTTAAAGCTGGGACATATCCTAATCTGTACTTCAAAAGGATCATTTTGGTGGCTAAGTAAAAAAGGAGACACGGTCAAGACTAGATTTCAAAAAGCTCAACTTTATATGCAAACTTAAAAATTAATAAAAAATAAAAATAAAGATAAAGCCCAGAGGTAGAACTGAGTATGCCAGCATGTCTCTAGGTAAAGAGAATGAGGAATGGGTGACAGAGACTAAAGGACCTTTTCTCTAACTCCCATTTTAAATTGTTACAAACCCTGATTATAAATAAAATGTTTAAATCAGTTAGTTTTACAAAGTCATGTCTAACATAATCTACTACACTGATAACATGTCAACAGACAGCACAGTCCTACTAATCGGATCTATGACTTGCTTAGGACCTAGCTCTCAAGTCAGGTGTGGCGGCACAAGACTTTAATCCTAGCACTCAAGAAGTAGAGGCAGAGAGATCGCTTTGAGTTTGAGGCCAGCCTGGTGGTCTACATAGCAAGTTCTAGGCCAGCCAGGGCTATACAGGGAGACCCTATCTCAAAAGCCCCAAAAGAAAGCAAAACAAAATAATAAATAAATAAATAAATAATAAATAAATAAATAAATAAATAAAACATTTCTAGAAGTTATTTTTAAAAATCAAAACTATGACTGACCTAAAAGAATCAAATTAAGAAACTAGCTCTTGATACATTAAGAACCTGACTTCTTTAGTTAGGTTTCTATACAACTTAGTCATTATTCCCTAAATTAAAACCTAAGCTACCCTTAGGCATTATAAACAAAAGTCTGCTTAGGTTAGCCTCTGCTATTTGTTACTGAGAAGTTTCAATAATTTCAGGAACTGTTTCAAGAGTATTTTAATTCTATAAACCAAAATCCCGAAGTAAACTCAGAATATGAAAAATACACAGCAATAAAACTAAAAATGAAAATGTGACTTTAAAAAGGCTTAATACTTTATAGACACATCTGCCTATCATTCTCTACCCAAATATCCCAACAGCACCTTAGATCAATCCACTGTAATTTTTTTTTTCCCACTACCACTACCAGCCAACCAAATCAAACTCTGGAGCTGTCCTCAACTCTTCCCTTTACCTAACCTACCACATCCAATTGGCTGACTGACCCTTTGAAAAACCTATCCTCTACTCTACCACTGCTACCCCTGCTAAGTGGCTCCAAATGTGCCCCTTGAACTTTTCATCACCTACAGCTTCTCTTCCAATATAGCCCCTAACTAATCTTGAGCAATGCTTCCAGAAAGGACTTTCTAAATGTAAAGCTAATTGATTCCCCCTAAAAAGAAATTCCACCTCAGAAAAGATATCCAAATCTATTCTGCAAAGCCTTAAATGGCCCATCCAGCTTATCCTCTAGTCTCTATCCGATGTACCCTATTCGGAGTACTCTAAAACATGCTACTTTGCTTTCACAAATTCATAGTTTTGCTGACAAGGAAATAAATGTGGTAAGGAAGAAGAGGCTATCTCAGGCAAACCTCTATTTCCCTTTGAAGATTTAGATCAAGTGTAACCTCTAGTAGAACCATTTACTGAATCTCCTTATTCAATTTAAGCAAAATCCAATGGAATGAAGTACACCTTCATTCATAGCCCACGGCATCCAGCGCAGTCTTCTACAGCCCCTCCACCACACTCATTTACGCAACTGTCCATTTCATTAGACCAAGAGCTCCATGAAGGGAAGAGACATGATACCTTTCTAGCTCTGCATTTTTTGTTTTTTTTCTTTTGTCCTTTTGAGACAGGGTATCTCCACAGCCACAGCTGGCCAGGAACTCACTATGTAGACCAAGCTGGCCCCCCAAGCACTGGGATTAAAAGCAGGCACCACCACACCTGGAAAGTTCTGCAAATTTTGTAAGCTAATTTAACAATAAAAAATTTCCACTTCTGGGGCTGGAGAGATGGCTCAGTGGTTAAGAGCACTGACTGCTCTTGCAGAGGACCCAGGCTCAATTCCCAGAACCCACATGGTGGCTATGAACCATCCTTAACTCCAGTTCCAGGGGAATCTGACACCCTCTTCTGACCTCCGCAGCGTTGCATGACGCGGGTGCACTCACACACATGCAGGCAACACACTCACTCATACACATAAAATAAAAATAATAAATAAAATATATATTTTTTAAATTTCCACATCATACTTACCAAACTGAAACTGCTGGTTGTCCATGAGGCGAATAGATGCAGGAGCACATCGCTGTTTAAAAGAGAAAAAAAATTGAGAAATAAGTTTAAAACACCAGAAAGTCACACAAGTAGAATCTGAATGTTATATACTGTATTTAAAACATCAGACTCCTAAAGATATATGGAAAGAAAAGAATCTCAGCTTGTAAATTCATGAAGACAAACCTCAGTGCCTTGCAAAAATATTTGGAGAAATATATGTAGAAAATACATACATACATACATACATACATACATACATACATACTCAGATCTTTAAGTTCAGCAATAAAATCTACCTGTTGCCTTGCAAAAAACTATGAGAATAGACTACAAGAAATACCAGGCCTCAAAGCAGACTATTTTAGAAAAAAGAAGAAAATCTTAAGACTAAATACGTGTCTTAAGAATTACACATTTGTGGGGCTGAAGAGATGGCTCACAGGTTGAGTACTGGCTGTTTTTACAGAGGACCAGGATTCGGTTCCCAGGACCCACATGGTATCTAACAACCATCTGTAACTCCAGTTCCAGGGGATCTGATGCCTTCTTCTGACCTCCGCAGGCACTGCATATCACGGGTGAACTTATACCCACGCAGGCAATACATTCATACACATAAAATTAAAACAAAATAAATTTTTTTAAAAAATTACACATTTGTGAATTATACTGTACTAGATTCTTCCATACTTTTTTTTGCTTCTTTTCTTTTTTACACTGTTGCAAATCAAACTCATGGCTTTGCACTTGGCTAGATAAGAACTCTGACTCTCAGCTACAACCCCAGCCCATTATACATGTCTTTTAAATTAAAAACTTTTTTGGATTTATTTTTATTTAATGTGTATGAGTGTTTTGCCTGCATGTATGTAAGTACACTACATGAGTGCAAATCTGTGGAGGTCAAAAGAGGGCATTGGATCCCCTGAACTGGAGTTAGGGATGGTTGTCAGCCACCATGTGGATGCTGGGAACTGAACCCAAGTCCTCTGCAAGAGCTGCCAGTGCTCTTAACTAGTGAGCCATCCCTCCAGTCCCTACTGCACTTTAAAAATGAGGAAGATATTACTGGAAATTTTTATATGCCAAAGGACTTTTAAAATGTATCTGCAATATATTCATAGACAACCCTAAGAATCATTATTTTTAACCCTTTCTCATAATTATTTTAAATAGAAAAAAAATCCAGACAGTATTCTAAGTTCTTTCAAGGTCACTAATAGTGAACACAGCACTAAAGCTTTGATGGTTAAGAGTATATAACTAAACAATAAGAAATTTCTCCAGTGTTGTGTGTACTTAGGAACATGCTAAAAGTTGCAAGGGAAAAAGGTACAGGTTGAGTAACTTTGCCTGAAAATTTGAAATCTGAAACGCTCTGAAATCCAAAATTTTCCAGCAACAACTACCACACAGAAAGTTTCAGATGTGGGACTTAACAGATTAGATGCTCAACTAGGAAAGTACATGAAATACATGAAAGATCTGAAGGGATCTGAACTTAGAAACAGTAATCCCATCCAACATGGACAAAGGACATTCAGCTCTCACTCATATTAATTTTGTGATGATAAAGACTACAATATGAACAACAAGAACAGTAACATCAGGAACAGTTTCTCCAAAGAACTAAAAGGGGTGTGAAACCCAAATAAAACTATTATTTCCTACACAAATTTCTAAGACAGCTAAAGTTCTACAAAGAGTTAATTTTAGACCAAAGATTTTGAAAAATGCTAAAAAAAAATTGTTTTGAGACAGTTACAGTGCAGAGGTTGGCTTCAACCTCATGACAATCCTACTGCTTCAGCGTCTAAAACTTGCCTTAAGTTTTTAAAACATTTATCTTCTCAGGATTACTTCTCAATAAAATGTATATTCATGTAAAATTTTTAAACTCCCTCAAGAGCATAAAATGTACACAGTAACTGCATTTAAAAAATGGGGGGGGGGAGACTGGGGAGATGGCTCAGCAGTCAAGAACACTAACTGTTCTTGCAAAAGACCCAGGTTCAACACCCACATGGCAGCTAACAACTGTCTATAATTCCAGTTTCAGGACATCCAACAGCCTCTTCTGTCCTCCACAGATATTGAATGACACAGGTGCACTTACATAAATGCAGGTAATATATGCATATACATAAAATAAAAATAAATAAAAGATTTAAAAAATATTTTCTTGCTATTACTTGCATTTAATTGAATAAATATTTAATTCTAACAAAAAATAGTTTGGGGCTGGAGAAATGGCTCAGCAGTTAAGCATACTGGCTGCTCTTGCAGAGGACCCAGGTTCAGTTCCCAGCACCCACCATGGCCACTAACTACTGTCCATAAGGCCAGTTCCAGGGATCTGATGCCCTCTTCTGATCTACAAGGGCATTGCACAACATGCAGGCAATACATTCATACACATAAAATAAAAAGAAATAAAATATTTATTTCATCCAATAAAAGGGAAAATGATTATTTTAAAGCCTATACAGTTTATTTACTCATCTAAAAATGAGATAATTTAATTGATTTTAAAAATATTCTATTATTTTTATGTGTATGAGTGAACTGCCTGCATGTATGTTAAATGTACCTGTGTCCTGCAATACCCATGGAGATCAAAAGAAGACGTCAGATTCCCCTGGAACTAGAATTACAGATTGCTGTTAGTCACCATGTGGATGCTGAGAACCAAACCAGAGTCCTCTGCAAGAGCACCCAGTGCTCTTAAGTCATCTCTCCAGCCCCAATTCAGTTAATTTTTAAAAGTCATTGGTCAGTCTAAAGAAATAACAAAAGGTGATCTTATATTAACTCACAGCAATAACCTATCACCTTATGTTTTACAGAACCCTGTGCTTTCAAGCTGTCATGTCTTTATTTCACACAGTCACAGGTGCCTCTGTCATGGTAGCAGAACTGGCATTAGCAATACAGAGACAAAGACAAAGGAATCTATGAGGTAAAAAATACTTGTCCTGGGCCAATGGTCAAGAAAGAGACCAACAAATCCTGACTACTGGATGAGCACAGTTTCAAGTATACCACATAGCTCCCTACACCATGCCCCTGCAAAAAAAAAAAAAAAAAATCACTTAACATACACACACACACATACACACAGTTTTTAACTTCATATTTGAAACAAAAATTATATTACAACTACCAATTTGCTATTTTGTGGTCTTATTAGAAGTAGTAACAGTTTAAAAAAATTAAAACCTGAGTAATTTCAAATTTTGTCATAAAGATATTGTAGTTTGGTTAGTGATTCCTTAAAATGTTACTGCTTTCCAAAATACTTTAAAGAAGGATCAATTTTCTTCATATTTACAAATCTGGAATGTTTCTAATAAAATGAGTGCACTGACTTCTAATAAAACATGTGACTCCTGATTAGGCCAAATTTCCTTTCTTCATAAAATAAATATTATCTCCATAAACATGTATATTTGTTTTGGCACAAGTACACTAACAAAATATTAAAGAATTTAGAACTATTTTTTTTAATTCCTAATGAGACCTTGTAAATTCTCTCCCACTGTCAACCAGATTCCATTTCGCCTGCATCAGTGGCAGGTGTAAGGCACGAAAATTACCAACAGAAGCACATGTGCGTTCAGAAAATGAGGGGAAAACACTACGCTTAGTGAATTCCTACTGGTAATTAATTTCTAAAGTAATAAAAACACAACTGTGGGCTTTAATTAAGTCTTGGTTCATAAACACTATCCATAAAATATTTGGGGGATAAATTAACTGCAGAATGAATACTAGTCGGCATTAAGAAACTGTTGTGGGGTAGACACCTTCCTGCGGAGAAAGCTAAACTGAGGGCATCCTTTGGGCTGGGAACACGTCTAGAAAGTGCAGATACATATTGCAACTTTTCTCCATTTTCAGGACTTGTACTCCATCCAACCCCTCCTCTTAGCTGTAAGTGGCTTTGTTGTTCTCTACTTCTGCTAGCCAAATTCTAATTTTTTAAACACTGTGGCCAAGCATCGTGGTACATGCTTTTCATCCCAGATCTCTGTAAGCTTGAAGCCAGCCTGGTCTACATAAGCATTTCAACCAGCCAGGGCTACAGAGTGAGACTCTGTCTCAAAAACAAATAAGCAAACAAACCACTGCCATTAATAAAGAGCCCACAATAATGAATTTCATTATACAGAAATGTTCGCCCTTGAGAAATATCTTCTCTGATACCCCACCCTGAAAATATTAAGGGTGAGCCAACTGTGGTGGTGCATGCCTTTAATCCCAGACTTGGGAGGCAGAAGCAAATGGATCTCTGGGAAGCCAGCCTTGTCTACACAGTAAGTTCCAATCCACCTGTGGCTATAAGGAGACCTCTCCCTCACCCTCAAAAATGCACACAGACACAGACACACACACAGACACACACACAGACACACACACACACACACACACACACAACGAGGGTGAGATTGTTTTTTCCCAGTAGTAGGAGGAGGAGGGCCTTTCATCCAGAAAGGAAGAGGAAAGAAGGGGAGGAACTCCTTCCTCAACCATGTCTGACAAACATGATATAGCTAAGATCGAGAAATTTGGTGAGCTGAAATTGAAGAAGATAGAAAAGCAAGAGAAAAATCCTCCATCTCAAAAGAAATGATCAATATAGAGAAGCAAGTGGAGAAACCGATGAGGTGAGTGCACTGTACAGTCCACAAGCTTTGCCTTCTTTTAATTGTTTAACTGCAAAAGGTAAAGAGACTGGATCAAGTTTAACAGACTGTGCTGTACCTTTTACATCAAAGAATCAGGAACTACAAACAAGGAAGGTCCTACCTGCTCCTCCCATCTGCTGGTCTGGCTGCAGGGAAGGAGAAAAACTTGCATGTTGGTAAAGGAAGCAGCTGAGTGGGAGGTGGCGAAACAGTAGAGTCAAACTGAAGATGGTACACTGGGTCCTTACAGGCTGTTAAAAAGCAGTTTAGCCAGAGTGCCAGCTCTTATTTAAATTGATTGGAATGCACAATTTTTAAATATGCAAATAAAAGGTTTTTT